CTCTCTCCCATTTGGTGCTGGTCACCTAGCTCAGGCCACTAAAATCAGTGACTGGGATTATTGCAGTTGGACTCACTACTGGTCTCCTGTTTCCAGAGCCAGTTAATTCCTTATCCAGCAGCCAGAGTGACTGCTTAAAACAGAAGTAGCAGCTGCTCTAAACCCTCCACCAACTTCCCAAGTCACTTGGAATAAAATCCAAAGTCCTGGCCATGATCCACAACGCCCTCGAAAATCTCACCCTCAGACACTTCTCCTACTTTCCCCGCCTGGTCATTTAGCTCTGCCACACTGGCTTTGCTTCTTCTGCTTCGTACCAAGCATTTTCCAGCCATTGGCCTTGGCTGTGTCCTCTACCTGGGACGTGCTTCTCTCAGATATCTGTGTGGTTAACTTCTGAACTTCTCTCAGCCCCACAGGTTTCCATTATTAGAGTCCTGCCCCGCCACCCTGTCTAACCAGCCCTCCTACTCACTGTCCCCACATCACCATGCCCTGCTTTATTTTCCTCAACACACATTACTACTGACAAATTATGTGCTTCTTATGTGTCGTTTGTCTTACCCACTTCCATACTAAAATACAACTTCCATCAGGGTAAGAATTTTTGTTTCTTTAGCTTATCATTTTACCCTTGGTGACTAGGACAGTGCCTGACACATCGGAGGCAATCAGTAAGTGCTTGATGAGTGACCTGGAAAGATTGGCCACTTGGTCCCCCTCTCCAGATGACTTCTTCACCTGACACTTGCCCTCTTTTTCATTATTGCCCTGTATTGCCACAGGGAAGTCAGGACCTGGGAGTACTGGATAGTTATGCCTTGGAGCAGTTGCAGGGGAGAACTGATGGTATTGAAGGGCTACTTTTCTAAATCTGAAAAATAAAAGCTTACAAAGTACAAAAATACTGAAAATACATCCTTTCCCTATCTGCTTCTCCCTTGACCTCTTATATAAAGTGCATTCAAAGCATAAATTAAAAATGATTAGGTCAAGGTAAAGAAAGTCCTCAGATACATAAATAAATTATAAATTACCAGAATTCTTAACTGCCAGGGGAACTGTATTGGGACTTGTAGAAAGAAAGATAGATACATGTGTTATCATATGAATACTTGCATAATAAAAACCATGTGTAGTAATTCCTTGAATGCTTGGGCATCCTTACCAATCAAGAATTGCTCTTCTTTGATTGGAGAGGAAACGATAGGGAAGAATGCTTAAAAAAAAAAATGTCTAAATTGGGTTTATTCAACAGGCTAACAGAGAGCATCTCTTCCAGGGCTGGGTCAATTCAGACAAGTGCATCTACTGCCTTTTTTTGCCTAAGTTAAAATGTTAGGAGAATACAGACTCAACCAAAATCCTACAATAACATAGACAGGTTAGATTCTGCTCATTATTCTCTACTCTAATAGATTTTAGAAGGATTGCCATCAACAAAGATTAGTGATTAAGTGTGAATTACCTTTTTCCATGGGCATTGAAGTTAATCAAAGCCTTTGTATAATATTTTCAAGTTGGCCAGCATCCGCTGCCACCTTTGATGCTAAGATTTGAAGAAGACATTAACATCAGATGTTAGAATCAGAGCATTTTGAAGCCAAGAGGGATCCTCACACCTCATTTTACAAAGAAATATGTGAGACTCAGTTTGGAAAGGTCAAATTCAAAAGGTTTTTTCTCCAAATGTCCATGAGAAGGAACCTTAACGACGTGTCCTGGCTTTGGGGAGGGACACGAGCCCTGGATCTGGAAGAGGATGACATAGGTTTGGAGTGCTACCTTGATCACTCATTAATGGTGTAGCATTGGGGAAGCTCTTTGCTGGACAGAACCCCTGTTTCCTAATTTATAAAATCAGGCTAACAAAGATAGTAAGAACCAAGTGAAAATACACTCATTAAAAAAAAATCAAAATATAGTCTCTGCCTAATCCACATCAGCGTACTACGATCCTGGACAGTTTGTATGTGTTCTCTTTTAGTTGGCCAAGTCAGTGGAATCAGCCTTATTTCACGGATGAGGTGACAGAGGCTGAGGGGATGGAAAAGCTGTGAAGGTCAAACAGCCAGCAGATGATGTTGTAGTCAGGGCTCAGGTCCGTGGAACAGCAAAAACCTTTCCCTCATTCCCGGACACTAGTGCAGCACATGGCAGATGCTCCAGAAATAGGAGGAAATATACATAATAATAATAATAATAATAATAAGCTATCAATGTAAATCTCTCCAGAAAGCTTTGTAAAACTCTTAAAAGCAATGTGGGCCAAATAAACCATTCCCAAAAGCCTGTGTAAGCCATAAAGAAATAAGCAAAGTTACTGATATTTGAAGGTTGAGACTTAATTCAGAAAATGTGTTGAACCCATCTAAACTTAATCTGCTAAACATTCATTCATTATCTAACACAATAGTTTAAAAAATCAAGTTTGCGTTTTTATGAGATGTGTGTATACAGTAGGGGTTCTTTTATAGTTCATATGGATAGGATATTTATCCCTGTTTTTATGGTGTTTAAAATTATTACAAAGGTGTATGGTTTTTATATACTGTGTTTGGCTTTGATGTTTACATTCGGCCATACCTGTAAAGATGCCAAATTCTTCATCAAAGCTGTAGTGCTCCTCTCCCACATTGCTACATTGTTTTTGTGGGATGAATGTAATCTCCTTCATAATAATCCACTTTAAAATATGTCTCCATTATGAGGGAGAGGAACATTTCATAGCTGTCCTTCCACTCCGTAGTGGGTCATGCCAGGTGGGGTGGAGAAGTGGGGAGTGCCGATTGTCTTGAGCTGATTTATGGTTGTTTATTATTATTATTATAGATAGGGTCTCACTGTGTTGCCCAGGCTGATCTTGAATTCCTGGACCCTGGGCTCAAGGGATCCTTCTGCCTCAGCCTCCCAAGTAGCTTACAGGGCTGTGCCATTGCACCCTGATTTTGTTTTATATGATCCCATGGTTTCAAAGCTAGCTCCACTGTTTTCATTGAGAGACAGCTAGTGAAGAAAAGGAGAAGAATGTAGCATTTTTTGATATAAAGTATCTCCAAGTGGTAGGATTTTTAAAAAAAAGACAACTGGATATGGTGGTTCACACCTGTAATCCCAGCACTTTGGGAGGCTGAGGTGGGAAGATCACTTGAGGCCAAGAGTTCCAGACCCATCTGGGCAACACAGCATGACCGCATCCCTACAAAAAGTGAAAAAATTAGCCAGGCATGGTGGCACACACCTTTAGTGCCAGCAACTTGAGAGGCTGAGACAGGAGGATCACTTGAGCCCTGGAGGGCGAAGCTGTAGTGGGCTGATTGTGCCACTGCACTCCAGCCTGGGTGGCAGAGTGAGACCCTGTCTCAAGAAAAAAGACAACATCAAAGGAAATATCAGAGAGTTACATTATGGGATTAGGTTTCTAAGTCAGTGCTTGAAGTGAAAATTGCCCTTGAAAATCCCACAGGCACAGAAGGGCTCACGTTCTTAGGAGGCACATGGGAACTAAGACAAACCAAAGAGCAGCAAATCTGAGTCTCCTGCTTTGTATTGCAACTGGCATTTATGTTCATTGAGGAATCTGAAAGATACCTACATGATTTACATCTTTGTCTCTACCTTTCTTTGGCCTACACGGCTGTAATCCCATGAGTCATATGTGGGTGTGGTGTGTGTGACCGCATCCTCCCAGCCCTGCAGTCCTCCAGCTGGAGGCCTGGCTCACAGAAGTAGTTTTCAAACCATGTTCCTCAGCCGAGAGTCCTAGGAAGGTGAACAGCTGTGGATTTGTTACCCACTGCCCTCCCTTCCTCCCCACCTGTTTTCTCAAGCAAGGGCTCAGTATTCTGGATTCTTGATAAGATGGGTTTGAAAACCGTGCAGCTGCTCAAAACATTTTTTTTCCTTTTTTTGCAAAGTTTGAAAACCAGTGAGGTAAACCAAAACTGCTGGGTCTTTCCTCTTACTATCAGTGTGGCTTGGGAAACGTTACTTAATCTTTCTGGTTTCAGTCTCTTTGTTTATAAAGTGCAGGCTTTGAGCTAGATACTCTCAATGTAAGACACCTCTGCTAGGAATCAGCTACATCAGAGAACTTTCTGGAAACAACCCTGAAAGCATTACTGTGGTTTCACCAGTACTGAATTAGAATAACAGCATGTACACCTCTCAGCGTTCCCTGAGTGCAACTGAGATAATGAGGAAATAGAGGGAGGAGCCATTTTCTCTTCAGCCTCTTCATTACTGAATAAAATGAGTAATGACTCCTTGCCAAAAAGCAGTCTCTGCTCCAGGGAATTCTCTTTTCTGGAATGAGGTTACTTATTTGCTCAAGATAGTTTTTATCTTGACAAAAAAATAAATAAAATGTTCTTAACAGTTGACTAACGTTTCCTCAACAATTGTGTGTCCCCCCCCCCTTTTTTTTAATAGAAACATTCTTTTTAAAAAAATTACCTTGCATCGGTCTTCTTGTAGGTGATTTGAAAAGAGGCTGGCCTTTATTACGCAGAGTTTTCAAGAGTTAAATTGGCTGAGCCTGAGGAAGAGCATTTGGGTTGCATGTTAGAATACTTGTTACTTGATATCTTAATTAAAACATCTGCAGCTACTTTCAGAACAGCTGACAGAGATGTTGACACATTGGTAGCCAATGTCAGATTATATGTTATGGATGAGCAATCCTCACATGTCCCTGTTTTTATTTTTATGTCTTTCAAAATGCGCCTCTATCCTCATCACTCACCACCTGGCCGCCCTCCCACAGAGGCTTCTGGAGGCTTCCATTCAAGGGCCTTCCCCTCACCCTTGACCAACCTGAGCAAGTGGGAGCTGACTGTATCAGGAGCGCCCTCTTGAGGACAGACTTGTTGAGGGAAACTAAAGTTTTTCCTTCAGTTCAGCACTGCACACTGTGTTACATCTCAGTGCAGGGGAGAAAGAATGGAATTCATGAGACGCAAAAGTTCATTTTTTGTTTTTCTGTCCTTTGTTTCCATCAGGTCAGCCACCATCCGCCTATCTCTGCATGCCATGCTGAGTCTAGAAATTTTGTTTTCTGGCAAGGTAATGTGCTAATACATTTTACTTCCATCATATTGTGTAATATGTTATCTATTTACTTTATCCAAGAATTGCTATCAATTCTTACTGAGATCAAAAGTGGTTCCTGGATTTGGGCCTGGTTGGAAGGATCTGCGTCACCTGTTCTTGCCGCTCATCTCTCACTTAGTTTATCTGAGCCTCCTCCATTTATTTCTGTAACTTTATCTTATTTAAAAATCATTTGAAATGCCTCACATATTTCAAGAGACACTAAATATTTACAGTCGTTTATCAGAGTGTAGACAGCAGAGGGGTTGTCTGCTTTTGCCAGACTTAAATTTTATTTCCGAAGTCGTGTTTTACATTGCTTACTTCTTTTCAGTTTTGAGATGATTGTTCCTAAAATTTTGTTCAGTTTATATTTTGAGTTGGGGGTGGGTGGGTAAATCTTCTGAAGAATAAATAAGGCTATAGCCATTTCCTAGATGGATTAATTTTGTTAACCTCTCAATTTATTTAAAAAAAAAGTGTACTGTAGAAGGAAAATATAAGCATCCTAAGTTTTTAGACAGTAAGCACATATACATTTTAAAAATATTTTTCTCTGCTACCACTGATATCACATGTTGCCTTTACACACACACACACACACACACACACACACACAATCTCACTCATGCTATAAGACTCTTCTTTGTGTTTCAAAGTTGGATTTTTTTTTTTTTTTTTTGAGATGGAATCTCAGTCTGTTGCCAGGCTGGAGTGCAAATGGCGCGATCTCGCTCACTGCAACCTCTGTCTCCATGTTCATCATTTCTCCTGCTCAGCTCCACAAGTAGCGGGGATACAGGCATGAGCCACTATGCCCAGCTAATTTTTGTATTTTTAGTAGAGATGGGGTTTCACCATGTTGGCCAGGATGTCTTGATCTCTTGACCTTGTGATCTGTCTGCCTTGGCCTCGCCAAAGTGCTGAGATTATAGGCGTGAGCACCTGCCAGCCAAAAGTTGGTTTTTTTTTTTTAAAATGAGAGGGGTCTTCTCAAAGTTAGTTCTGTGTGCTTCCTACATTACATCCTTCCCTTTCCGAGCATCCTTCTCCTAGGCCATCCTTCCCCATCAGCCTTTTCCTGAGCAATCCACCTATTTCCATGGGCTGGTTCCCAGATCTTGGTTGTAACCCAGCCTGACATTTTCTGCCTTTTATGTAGGGATTGTGTAAAC